TCATATTATTGATCCATGTGTCTTCTAACCGTTTTTACAATAGTCTGATAATAGTTGTTCTGCTACAAACTGAAATAAAGTTAATGACACCAGCGTTAACAGCTCTACTCAATAAATATTTAATCACTTAGTCATAAATAATACTCTTACTCTGAGTGTATTTTTCTCCATTCGGCGAGTTCTTTCAAAACGATATCACATTCCTTACGTAAATAAAATTCTTCAGTCGTAATTGTTTCATGAGCCAAAACTGTTTTGATATTGTTGGTCTTTTGACCATTAGGTTCATTCTGAGTTGGATTCCCTTCTTTCAAGCTGCATATATAACTCTGTTCCAAAGCTGAACTAGTTAAACTTTCACTTTCTAATCTCAGACAAGCTGATTGTATTTTTTCAACCTTACCTGTCTGGAGTGAAAATCTTCGACGACGCAGTGCTGTACTAATACCTCCACATATAACTTTGCCCGTTGTAAGCTCAGAAACAAGCTCTTCATCATCTGAGTTAACTAAATGAAAAATAAAGGAATTATAAATATATTTAATTTTAGCTAAGAAAACGCTTTTAAATCAAAAGTCGTTAGATTGAATGTCATCTTATAGTTCAGTCGCTTTTTAAAATATTGCAAACATATAAGTTTATGAACTCATAAACTGCCAACTCAGGAAGTGAGAATTAAAAAGCATTATTGCTGGAACAAATTGGTATGTTGATAAGCACCGAATTGTGATATAGCATTATGAAAAATTATGGACGAATGTCGCACTCACCTTCCTTTTCCATCATTACAGACGAACTTCTAGAAAGCTTCAGAGTGTTGTGACCGTCCTTAGGTTCAGTAAACTGTATAGTGCTTTTTTGATACTTCTTCAATGCTGATGTTGGTCTTAGACCTAAAGTTGAACGACCCGCTTCTATTGCCTCTCCGGTGGCCAGAAGATATCCTGACTTTTCTCCGTCTACAATATTTTTCTGAAGATAATTTATTAAAAATCAACTTCTAAACACTCTTTTTCAATGCCAAAATTCGAAAACAAAGCTACAGGAGAGAATGAGCACATAGTCTTCTAATAATATCCATTTTTTATTTTGTGACAGTGGCATATTCTTTGTTATCAATAAATCAGGGAAAGTTATGGAAACTTCTAATTATAAATAATATTAGACATGATTGGGCATAAAACTGCCTAATCCTTTGTTGTTATTACTGACAAACATTCAATATTGTGATCTTGTATTTATATAGTACTTATACATCTTGATTCAAAATTTGTTTTTCTCCGTTTTTGATATACAGAATTAGATTTTTTCTGATGCGGATTATAAATTATTATGGCCTTAATTATTCTAGATCTGTGAATACCAGCCTAATATACAACCTACTAACATCTTAGATATATAACCTCAAAATCTTAGGCTCTTACAACCTTACCATATTTTACTTTTAAATCAATCTCAAATAAATGTGGTAAACCGGTTTCGATTTCCATAAAGACGAGCCTCACTAATCTTCATTGAAATGAGAAAATAATATAGTACACAGGAAATTATCAACATTTTTTAATGTTCTCGTTTCTCCGAGATTATAAAGAAAGCTTTGTATGGTGATGTTGTAGTGTGTGCTACTGATGTAGACAGATATAAGTAGTATGTACCACCAATCGAAAGTGGAATGCCTGGAGGCAGAAGATTAAGAATATTGAAGAGTAGAGAACGAGAACAGGGAGTGATTGGTGTGGAAACGAAGAAACAATGAAGTCGGAGACAATTGATGGACATTTTGCAAATAAAGCATTTACTGTGTGGTTCTCACGTTTTACCAAGATATTCTATAATGTTGTACCAAAATACATTTTGTTGGCCCCGCCTGTGTTCCTGTTCACTGCAATGTCACTATTCTATTTGATCTTTTTGTAGTAATCTGATTCCTTAAGATTGTTGAATGTAGTTGGGTTCTCGCAAAACAGGCAACAATGGAGATAGTAACTTAACTATTGTAAGCAACCACAGCAGATAAACTTCTATTTCTACACCTTGAATTTAAGAAAACAAAGTGGCTCTATTTGTGAGTAACTAAAAAATGTATAGTGATTAATTGCTTTTATAAGAGACCATCTATGTTACTAGACTTTTGTGTATATACAATTTCCCTGTCTTCCAAACAACTAGATAAGATTCAACCAACCACTGTTAGAATCACAGTGTCAATATCCAAAGAAAATAACCATATACATCTGAAAAACCTTTTCTGTGAACTTTATAAATTTAATTTTTCAACGAATCTATTTCTAGAATTCATGGAGAAAAACTTGGACGCGATATACGTTTAAAGACTTTTTCCGACTAAACGTAACGGACAATTTAGAACCAAAAACATATTACGGCTTTAAGAGTGGTTGGTTTTAATGATCTCAAAACTTTAATACATGTATTTAATCACCATAAACTTACACATCTTTCTCCTAACTAAAGCACCAGCAAATCCTAAACAAGTGCATTACCTGTTCGACTAATTAACGAAATAAGTTGATTTAAGAATGATAGTTATGATTAAGCAGAAACGTGATAATTCACTTAAATTTTCAAATATAAAAGATCAGTAGATGGACTCTCGGATAAGAATATATTCGCCGTACAAAAAGCAAAATAAATAAGTGAAATTATGTCTCTTATATATTATCAAACTGTACTAACTCTAGAGAAGCTAGAATAATGGTTAATGATGCACAAGTAAACGTATAATTTAATAAATTAAACGATAATTTTCGAAAATCATCATTGTAACTAACATATCTTATTTCATGTGTTTTTCACGAGTACGCTTTACTAACTGTACACTATACAGTTTTGTAATAAGTACAGAAACATTAGAACCCTGTTATCTCAACTTATATGTATAAGACGTACAAGAGAATAATGGAAACAGAGGCTCTTAGAGAAGCAATAAGGTATTTTGGGGTAATATTTATATTTGTTTACTCCCTATTCTTAAACTAAAGATAAAATTTCTTCAGACAAAGCCAGTGTTGTGATTTTTGTGATTTTAAAGTATGAGGAATAGTTAACGTACCGTTTTACCAGATATTAGACCAATTTCTTTCAAGAGGATGTTTATATACTCCCATTCACTATCGAATTTGGTTATATCATATTCCCCTGAATGTGAAACAGGATTTTTCTGTATTGGAATGTCATCAAGGACGGTTATCTGTGGTAGTTCCTCTCTCACAACTTTTCTGTACCTCTAAGACATTATAAACCGAAATATTACTTACCACTTTCCCACCATGTTTTGTAACAAAAGGATTTCCTTCAAGAGTAAGGGAAGTAAGATTGTGACAGAGACGAAGGTATGACAAACTGCTTCTATCTTCAATCAGGTTGCTTTATTATGTTAAATTAGATTTGACAAATTACCCCTCAAGATCTATTACTTCGATATTGTCCAACATTGCACACGGACTAAGATCCGATACTCCGTTGAAAGCTATGTATAATTCTACTAGTTTTGTAAAACTTGATAACCCATCAAGGCTAACAAGACAACAGCGAGGCATCCAAATCACCTCCACATTGTTGAGAAATGTACCAAGATCTCTACATATGGTTAAATGGGAACATAAAGCTCACCGAACAGACGGAATATTACTATTAGTTAATCTTAAATGTCTCAAGTTCGGTAAATATGTTCCGAAGTTTGCTACCGACATTCGATCAGTATCAACCTCAAGATCTAAAGTGGAAACCATGCTCAAATCCTCAAATCCGGTCAACTCCCTCTACATGAATGTTAACATTAAAAAATATATATATACAAGTTTCTGCTCAGACAGGAATTCATCAGTTAGGGTTTCAGATAGCCGTCTGAGCGCAGGTGTTGGATTGACTGTTTTCTCCTGAATCTCTATAATCTGCACTAATGCTGATTTCGGGCGGATATCGCTGCTAAATGTATTATTTTGTAATAAATAAATAATTATTTATGCTGAAAGATTGTACAACCTGGGTTGAAGTTCAGTCATTGCCATCGCGTTATTGATGTTGTTCTTATCATTTTATGAAACTCTCACTCTAATGGAACATTACAAACTATATCACATAAACTAATAGAGAAACATGTTGGTAGTAATTTACACTAGCAACGCGTTTAAAAAGCTGCTCGTCAGAGATACAGAGTAAAACAAAGATCTTTGCAACGAGCTTGTATAAACCGATTGACTTCTATGCGCTTGCTCCTTTTAAATCTTATATGGCTTCAGATATTTAGTAATATACAATAGGTGGTAGTCTAGCTACTCGACTTCATTAATTTTAGTCAGTCTCGTTATTATTTGTGGACTTGTATATCCCAAAGCTGCCAACTTTGGGGAAAATTTGGTCCGTTTTGGGGAAATTTTAGGGAAATGAGACGGAAACCCCTAAATTTCCCCCAAACATTGGAGAAGGCTATTTCACTTGGGGATTTCCCCAAAATTTCCACAAAATTCCCCAAAATTTCCCCAAAGCTGGCAGCTTGGGTCTTTTAGTTTGAGTGAAAGAGTTTTCTTCTCAAGACAGTATGGTTTCTGAACAACAGCACTTACCACACTGTCAGTCAGCAGGTTGGCTAGCTGCAGTGTGGAAATCATAACTTGATATTTTGTATGCTAAAGAAGACGATTGTTTCGAGAACTACATGAAAAAAAGCTCTTGATTAACTCGTTATCTAAACGGTGCAAGAAGACCTTAGTGTAGAGCTTAAAAGGGAAGTGAGATGACGATGAGACAGTGTAGGGCCAGTGGAATGTCACTGAGCCCTAGTCAAATCATCCGGCAGTTGAATCACTGAATGTCGAACAGATCATCGCTCCCTGCCAAAGTCATGTACAACCCACGCGCATAAGTTAATCGTGTACCATGGACTGGCCCATGCGGCAGTGGTCTTACTTTCGCTTGTATCTACTTTAAATAATATGTTTCTGTAAAGACGTCCCCTGTGTTGTACAGTCTTCAAAGCATCTATGGCACCTTGGTACGTCAATGGGGTAGTCCACGTAAGGTGCTGACCATGAGGTGTGACTTCGATGTTAGCTAGTTTGTCACACCATTCACGTCTAACTCGAGTAGGTATGGTATTCGAATTCTCGTATGAACTAGGAATTCCAGGATTAACGCAATTGAATTAAGAAGACACAGGCACAACGAATGTACTGTATTTAGAATTCGAAATCGAGCATTCAACCAGTAAAAAAGATATCATTAGTCCATTCAAACACCACAGTAGGCCTGCAATCATTTCCGACATAGATCGTTTACGTTGGTGATCTACAACAGATTGGAATTAGTTTGTAATATATGATGAGTATAATAGTAAATAACTTACGAGACATAACTCAGATACAGCTGGTTCAAGTGGGAGATGAAAATCCATGAGTGGGCTCATGTTGCAATTATCCGTTCTTGAATTTGTCACTTAGAAAACTGTCTATTTGGTTCAATCATATTGTTTGACTGTTTAACCAGTAGAATGACATTTTCTTTTTTTCATGAGGTCCCAGATAATAATTGAGGAGCATTAGAACCAATAAACGTGTACATGTGTAAGATATAGGAATGACAACGGAAAGGGCTTCAAGAGAAAGAAATATGAGGCGATTGTGTGATGCTGGAAATCATCGTTAACCAAAACGACCCGCGAAAAGCGAACAAAGCAAATTAATCACCAACAGGTGGGTAAAGCATTTAAAAAAACTGTTCATTTGACGGGCAACCACCGAACCCACTCAATATCGCAGCAGAACACACGAACCTCCGAATCGATGTTGACTCGCCAACAATTGGCCATTACACAAATCAAGGACGGCAAAGCAGCAGGACTAGACATTATTCCGGCAGAGCCACTGTAAGCAGATATAGTAGCAAATGTAAATATATGCCCAATTCACTTCAGCAGGATTAGAGATGAAGAACAAGTACCAACAGATTAAAAAGCAGGACATACCAAAGAAAAGCGATCCCAGCAGTGTGAGAACTACAGAGGCATCACGCTCCTCTCAATGCCAGGAAAAGTAAGTTCAGATAATAAAGGATAACATAACAGTCAGCTTGTAATAGCTAATAAAAGCTGAAACATTGACTTTTCTTAGTAAAGAAATGTGTCATAATTTCGAAAACTCTGGTAGGACTTAAATGAATTTAATTTTTCCTTATCTTCCCATTTAAATAAACTAGCTTCTTGTACGAAATTGTTGATCAGTCCGTGGCCAGTTCAACCAGATTAATTTTAAAATTGAGCTAAATGACAACTTCGTCAAGCCAAAACAAGAGTTTCTCAACTGCTAGGTCCTAACGGCCCGACCAACAACGATGGCGACGCCGCTAACCTTCTGGCGGCCCATTACTCTCAAACATTTCAACCGGCTGATATCAACTTTATTGACGACAGTTTCATCTGCAATTCCACAGGACTTTCTGAAGTGGACCTAAGCGCTGACTTGGTGTTCCGGAAACTGCAGCACTTAAGACTTGACACTTCTCCTGGCCCGGACATGGTTCATCCTGCCATACTGAGGGAGGCAGCCTCAATCCTGGCAACGCCGCTTAGCGTGATGTTTTCACACTCGCTTAGCCGAGGCAAACTACCGGAAAATTGGAAGTTGGCTCACATCACACCAATTTTCAAAGGTGGTCGACGCAATGAACCTTCAAGTTACCGGCCGGTAGCTCTTCTGTCGTTACCTTCAAAACTCATGGAGTCCCTGATATGCGACGGTTTAAATGACTACCTACTGTCCTTAAATTTCTTCTCACCCCAACAGCATGGTTTCAGGAAGGGTTACTCTTGTATAACCAACCTGCTGACTGCGGTGGACAGATGGACAAGCATCCTCGATCGCAAGGGAAAGGTTGATGTCATTTACCTTGATTTCTCAAAAGCTTTTGATAAGGTTAACCACTTGTGTCTTATCAACAAGCTCAAACGACTAGGTATCAAACCACCTCTAATCGACTGGCTTACTTCATACCTAAAAAATCGACACTTTAAGGTTAGGGTCAATTTCACTTTATCTCAAGCTATGGAATGTCCTAGTGGGGTCCCCCAGGGCTCAGTACTAGGGCCTCTTCTCTTCTTGATCTACATAAATGATCTTCCTCAACAGGTAACGTCAGACTTATTACTTTTTGCCGACGACGTGAAACTTTGGAGAGAGATACGCAACCAAGACGATATACAGGCACTTCAAGATGATCTGACTCGACTTCAAAGTTGGGCAGACGATAACGGACTTACCTTTAACACTTCTAAGTGTAAAGTAGTCCATCTGCGACATGTCGCAAACTACAGTTACAACTTAGGAAACACCTCTCTAGTAGTATCCCAAGTCGAAAAAGATTTAGGAGTCCTGGTGCCCCATGACTTAAAGTCTTACGCTAACTGTGACAAAAATGCCTTCCGAGCAAACCTTGCACTGGTAACGTTTAGGCGCATTTTTGGTCAGTTTGACGGAAGAACTTTCCACACAATCTTCAATAGTTTCATCCGTCCCCATTTAGAGTACGGAAACATAGTACTCCCCCCCTCACTCCAAAAGGATAAGGTCACTTTGGAGCGTATCCAACGGCGAGCCACGAAATCAGTTCGAGGACTCAAATCTAAGCCTTACGAAGAACGCCTTCGTTCACTAGACCTTTACCCACTAGAATATAGGCGTCTTAGAGGTGATTTATTAATGGCTTATAGTATTCTTAACACTTCTGGACATCCTCTTAAACACCTACTTAAGCTTAGTTCGAACAATAACCTAAGGGGTAACACCCAGAAACTGGAAACACAACATAGCAAGACGGAATGTAGACACAACTTCTACTCCTTAAGAGTTGTCAAAAGCTGGAACTCGCTGCCGGCCGAGCTAGTCCAAGCGACTTCTCAGGAGTCCTTCAAGAGGCAACTTGACCTATTCTTAAGGACCAAGGACAGCATCGCACTATGATTTACCAATTTCTTTTCCTCTTTTATTGTTAACATACCTAGGTTCCTGCCTGGAGGATTTGGTGATCCCCTGCTACTAGACACGGAAGCCTGTTAAGCGAAAGCTTCTTCTATTCCGTCCACAACCATTTGAACCATTTGAACCATTTTGAACTTAAAATACTGAGATAATTAGGAGTATTTGAGATATAATACAAATCAAGAATCTCGGAAATAACGCAACATAACAAAGGAGTATAAGATGACCACGAACAAACTTATTGTATTTAAATTTCGAAATCATGCAGTCAACAAGTACAAAGAAATCATTATTTCATACAAACACCACAAATACGTCTGTAGAAACATAAATGTGCTCAGAGACATCTGCAAATTTTTCGTATACTGAACGATGACCTTGGTATTAACATGTCTTATCTTTTGCTTCCGTCTAGAACCGATCATTTGAGAGGACATTCGAAGAAAGTTCAAAAACCGAGGTCAAACCGTTTACGTCTGGAGTTCCGTTTCTCGCACCGAGTAGTGAATTACTGGAATTCCCTACCGGAACACGTAATATCAGCACCGTCTGTTAATATATTCAAAACGAGATTGGACCTCCACAGTATTACAAACTGCAAGGATTAATATAGGTCGACAGACCTCCTATCCTTATTACTGAAGACTGACTAAATTTGCGATTTTCTATATTTGATTCCTACTCACACCTAATGATCTGAATATTCAGGTCAACCTCGTGTAAACCAGTCAACTATTTTCTAGTACTTTGGTTTTTTAACAATGTTGATTCGTTGTTTTTTTACCAGGAATCGTCAGCAAGATAAAAACACCTGGCTTCAGCCGTTAGATGACCTTGAAAGATAAATGATTTCACCTCAAAATATATCGAATACAAACCACCATTTGAATTTACAGAAGCTGTTTCAGATAAATGAATGAAGACACTGGAATCCACCTAATATCTTGAAGCATTCATATAAAGTGGAAAATTAAAGCAAAGAAATTCGTCAGCTCCAGCAAGATTTGGACACTTATTGGATATTGGAAACAGCGCTGAGTATTAAATCAAGGTTGCTTCTGGTCTTCGTTTTGCCAAAGTAACTTTTAGTGATCTCATTTGTTTTCAGCTCGTCTGTGTTTGGCAAGAACGTCACTCAATCACTTTTCTAGAGCTTCCATAAGAAGCTATTAATGTTTACTTCGTTCTTCATCTATTGTCAGTAACGTTGACTTTGGTGAAAAGCAGACCTTTGGGGGTTAAGGTTTCGATCTCTAGCCATTGCCTTAGAGTGGGGAATTTTTGGGAAGGATCTCACTATTTACCTGGGCCGGGGTGAAAGCGACAGTACATCAAGTTGTCGCTTATATTCACACCAACGTATAAGGACTTTTCAGAAATTCCCCTTAGTTTCGCATCTAATTCCCATCCCTTGTTTGTCTAGGTTGGTGCAACTAAGTGGCTAGATTTCAATCAACTGGGGTCATAGCCTCAATGGACGTTGCAAAGTACCTTCAACTGTCTGTCAGCATTAAAACTTAACTTCAAATAAATTGACTGATTAAAACTAACTCGTTACAAATGTATTCCAATAATCAGTGTACGTCTCATTAGTCCCAATTAAGATTGCTTTTTGTCGAATCAGGAAAGTGTTGGGCTAGTTGTTGCTCCAAACTTTTACTCCTTTGGGGAAGTATGTTCAATGTCACTCCTTCCCCGTCACGAATGTTTACTGTGGTGATTCTAATAAGGTTGTGAAACGTTATTACACTGTTTGCCCAAAAAGGTAGTTTGACTATTTGAATCGAGGATCTGATATCTAGTCTAACTATTTAGAAGATCGTTGTGGCTTGCACTAATTTTGATTTATATACTATCGGAATGTTTACTCCTCGTATACACTACATCCATCTGGCTCCCACAAGGCAACGTTTAACAAATGTGAACTGTATTTCCCACGAAGTTCCAGTAATTTATCCCCCTCAAAGCAGAATAATGGGTTAGTGCAGCCGCATAAATAAATCTCCAACATTTTCACAGGCTTTCAATTCTAGTGATAAGACTTGATAATTTCCAAGTCAATGTTACAAGAGTAACTGCTTGAGTAACTTTTCTTTGGGGTCTGTGGCCGACTAGAACTTTACTTATGCAGTATCCATTCCAGTAATATGACAACCACCCACACACCTCACGAAAGTGGTTGTGACTGGATTACTCAACTTTTAATCATTGGGCTGGAAGTCCGGACCCCGTTCCACCCCTTATACTGGTAGTCGGATAGTATTACTACTATTTACAAAAAGGAAGCTGACAGCCGAACACATAAATCTGTACTTAGTAAGTAACCCACATGATTATCGTTGTCCCGGAAGTACTTATATTAATCTTATCCACAACCCGATCCGTTGTTAAAATCCTAAAATGTCCCTGCTTGTATCACTAGTGCTAACTATTCGAATTGGGTAAGTTAATCCATGTTGTTCTGGAGTCTCACTCCAAACCACGTCTTCAAGTTCCGGGTGTTCGAATCCTTTATCGAGTCGGACAACAAGGTTCACTAAGATTTATTCTTTGTCTCCCTCCAAACTTTGGTCATAAGAATTAGTTTACTTTCTGTCTACCAATTTTATTCGTCCCTTTTGATCCCTACTACCTGTGCATCTCTATAATTCACTACATCAGCACACCGTCAAGATAATATGCCAAAATGGCAGACCGCTTCATCCCGTTAATCTTCATCAGCTGATGTGCTTAAGATGCTATTCATGTTCAGCGAGTCCTTACTTTGGTGGCCAGTACAGGTAAATCAGGGATGGTTTGAAAAGAAGGCTAAAGGTGCCTAAACCTAGAGTTGTTGTAAGCCCGTACTGTCACTGATTTCTGGTATAAACCCTGTGGAAAAGTGTAAACTACTTGCTTGTATTCTACGTGATAATCGTAATAATAAGCTCGAAATTTCGAGTGACATGACTCGACATTTAGGGCGTTGTCGCAACTTATACTTAGTACATGGATTCCATTTATAGTTGAAGTCAAATTGTTAGGCTCTTTTCCCAAGTGAGTTCTGAGGGTCTAACGTCTCCAACACCCCTTCCCCTCTTTAATAGCGTACTTTCCTGGGGTCGACTTGCATCTTGGCTATTGTTCGCCGCTGTCGGAGACGCCACCTTCTGGAAAGGAGATCAGCTTGTTGCTCAGCTTTTTCTCGTAGTGGGGCTGCCGGTAATTTAAAGGTATCAAGCAAAATGTCAAGGGGAAGATTTACTCCTGTTGATGGGCGGTCTGGGGCTATCCGCTTCCGTAGTTGGTTTCGGTGTCGAGTCCACGTGTATCTCCCCACCTTTACCTCGTACATAACTTGGCCTAGTCTTCCAACCACACGTGCTTCGGTCCAAAGGCCATGATTTGCTCTGTAGTCTCGGGCGAACACTGGGCACCCAACCTCGTACGTTGGTAGCTTCTGAGACTTGGTCTAAGATGGTGGTGGTGTGGTTCTTGGGCGCCTCACAAATACATATATTTTATATCATGGCACGAATAGTATGCTAGTTCGTCAAAAATGTATAATGTATACTAACGGTTTTATGTCGAATGGAGTCAGTCAAATAAATGTCATCGTACAATACACTAAAAACAAGTCAGATTTTACTTTATGATTTGTCTTGTTGGTTTTCTTTGTCGTTTAGGATGACACAAAATACGAGCATTCCAGTCAGTTATCCTATGATGCCTCCGATAGATGATTTAAATAAATATGCACATTTATTGCAAGTCATTGAAGAAATGGGACGAGATATTAAACCAACCTACGCCAATAACAAAAATGCCGCAGAAAGACTAAAAAAGAATATTCACACTGCTAGGATTTTAGTCAGAGAATGTGTTTCAGAACTTGAACGTGTTATGAAAGCGTAGCATTTTTGTCTTCTATCCTTTATCTATTGTATTTTTTAATTAAACAAAATAAACTTTCATCTTTTGCTTTTCAACTCATAATGTACATTGTGGGTTCGTTCTACAACATGTTTTTCGCGTAGATCAGTGCCTTTCAACGTTAAAAAGTCTTCGGGATATCTAATAGTTTTGTGTATTCGTTTCATTATCATATATAAATGGACTAAGACTGTTGGTATAGGCTTGTTCAGTACTTGTTGGTACTGTTTTATTTTACTTCGTACGGCTAAGTGAATTAAACACTTTAGAGAAAGCGCTAGCATTATGTGTTATAACAAATATGCTGTAGCACGAATTTATATTACATAAAATGTGTTCCAAACAAGCGATCAGGCGGACAAAACAAAGATAACTGAAATGAATGAATCTTAAGTTTATATATATCATCGTACATGTATGTCAAAATTATAGTATTTAGACCAAATAGACGATCGTCAAACATTTATACAAGTCCATGTGTACATAGGTAAAAGTTCTCAGTTACATATGAGAAGTGCACAATAACTAATATCACAATTATATATCTGACTGTCAAGCATGTCTCATATTTCTTTTAGAGAACAGGTGTACAAACAAACTAAAAATAATGAATTGGTTACTCCCAAAAATTAGGTCATATTCTCAGTGAACCACTCCTCGAACGCCCAACCTAAGAGTCTAATCTACAAAATATTGGTGCTATGTTAGAAGATGGAGTTTCATGTACGTGGCAACCAAATACATTCAAATAGCGTTCGCTCTCACATTAAAGCAGTACGTAGGGCTTCCTGATAAGGTAAAAAATTCCCTAGGCATTTAAGAGTATTTCAAAAGGGGAAGTGGAATTACTTTACCGTCAAGCATACCAGGATATTTGGGGATGGTAACTCTGTACTGCAATTCTATTGGAAACGCTCTGAACACATAAGACGAGAATTAATTGCATACTTTGTAAAGGATGCGATTAGAGATTGTATGCAGTGGAATCCATTTCCGAAATTCTGAATGGTAGAAATGAGGGAATTTTTTTGTACCATGAGAAACCCATTTTTCTGCTTGTAGCCGAATTAAGTACTTAACTGTTAAAGTTGGTAAGAGTAATTAGAACAATTGCTTGTGTCTACAATATTTGCCAGATATTTCTGAAGTTGTCCACGAACACATTAATGTTCACAATAACAAACAGATTATTAAGAAAGGAGATAATAAAACACTACATAAACATTTTGTATCTAGATGCGAATATAAACTGACGATCTTTTTAGCGACACTCCCTAAATGCATAAAATATCTTCAGTTTAACTGGCAGCTACAATAAAAACAAACTTCTCGGTTAGACTAATTTATGGACGACCTTTGAGCAACTCTAAAGTGGCCTTGGGTATATCCACCAACTTACTAGCGCTAAATGAGGGTCATAAATCTATGTGAAGAATATAGATTATGATTTGTAGTTGGTGGTTAGGGTTAGGAATTCAAACTAGGGATTTTATCACGAACTGATATCAGCTGAAATTCCAGAACTCTACTTGGTCAAATGCGTGAATGGATTTCGCGCCGAAATCAAAGACCTATTATCTTAAGTCCAATATGTTATAGTCTCGCCCTCAAAATATCGTACAGTGTCCCATATACATGTCATACGCAGAAATAACACTGAAAGTAGCATAAAGCCATAGGCTAGAAGCAATTAGTTAACTAATCGACCAAAGCTAATGTAATGCAAGAATGAAGTTCAGTTACTACGATCTGGAAGACGAGTGGGGATATGTCCGAAAGTTGCGTTCCTAATAGATTCTGTCCTGCTTCAATTCAATTCCTTAAACGTAATTAGGTTGAATTTATGTCATTGATAATAAACCAGATAATATCTTTGTAACTAAACAGACCGAAGTATCTAACGAATACTGCATATCGTCCACTGAAACTAATCAATATCCCCGACTAAAATTCAATCTATGTCTAGCAAGTTCATTATTTCAAATGTTCTGCTAGTCATTACTTGGTTGTTCACAGTACTGCTGTTCAGCGAACACGGTCGCAAATTTTTCCAGAATTGCTCATGCTGAAATCGGTGGTTTGTAAGTTAGAATTGTCCCAGTCCTAGACATAAAACGGCCTACTTTGATCTTGTTTCTGTTACTTCAGCAAGGTAAATTATAAAACAGTACAAATCTCAACACTTGCAAACTACAAATGTGTTTTACCTATCTATTTTGAATACACTTTTATGATTAGATTTAATTAGAGATTTGAGTAATAAGGACAGTACTACATATAATCCACACCTCATGAATCATTTCCATACGATCAACTTTATTTATAAAAGCATCAAGCGATATGTTACTGGGACTGTACTATCAAATAAAACGACTACATCAGAGGTGTAGTGTTATGTTCCTTTTCGGACCTAGATGGTGAATCTTAAGAAATAAAGTTGTGCTCAACGATTTCTAAGCCTCAAAATATTCATAAGCATAAGCCAACTGGAAACAGCATTAAATTAATTAATTATACTATTTGTGAATGAAAGAAAAAGTCACGTATGCTAAAATTTTCAACGTCTAACATTTTCCAAAACATATCAGTACGTTTGGTTAACTAAAACACGAGACAGTCACAGTTAGCTAAAAATAAGCTATGTTACAAGCCCTTTATTTTTCTTGCAAGTAACGAATACATGTATAACAAAATATATTGGAAACAATACATGGAAAGCAAAAAAATAAAATATTAACACGATAACAATATGTTGAGAAAATTACAGAATAGATTGCCATATACAGTGTTATCGTGAAGTAATAAAACCAGTTTAGCAGAAAGCAAATTATCTGAGAAAGTAAATAAAATTATGTACAGGATATAAAAGAGATATGTTCAATGATAAATCCTAACCTTATAATACAATTATACAATATATTATATACAAGACAATACAAATTATATAGTTAAAATCTTGTGTGAAAGAAAAGCTTATAGAAATTTAGCAGCTCCCGGTGATAAAGTAATCATTGCTAATTTAGTAAGAACAGGAATAGAATGACTAGGTGGTGATTTTTCGAATACTGAATTAGAATTATTCAATTGTTTACGCCTTTTTGTAGGTGTACATTCATTATTATCACTACTATTTACATTTTTAACACAATTAAACGATGCTCTATCTGGAATTGGCGATAATTTTACGTGAACAATAGGCATATCATTTTCTAATGGCTTATTTATTTTAGTTGATGAAGTTAATGGTGAAGAACAATGAGATCTTGAGGGTGAACGTTCAAATCGATTAAGTGAAAGAGACTTATGTGATTTGATATAATGATTATTTGTTTTACGCTTATGATTGGGACTTTCTACATGCTTGTCTGCTCTCCACATATTACAATTTTCAGCGACTAGTGTTAATGCAGAACGAAGTCTCTGTTTAATTGTATCGGACACAATCAAACATTCTTTAGGAATAGCACTAATATTGAATGAATCTATACTTTCGTTTGCTTTTGTAGTTGTATTAGGTATAGACGTCTGTAAAAAACTAGAGTTGTTTTCATTAACAGTATAAACAGATGAAGGCTTTGACTCGTTATTAGATTCACTAATGTAGGACATATGTTTACCCTGATCAACACGCCGATGCGGAGGATTACTATGAGCTAAAAACAATTCCCAATTATCATAAATAGATTCACCGATATGAGCAGTCCGGAGTAATTCACTAGATACTAGACTGTTTTGTTTTTCAAGAGCAGTCAATTGGATTTCAGATATACGCCACATTCTCTTAAACAAAGCTAATTTTCGTCGTTCTCTTTGCAAGACCATATCTGCCATTAATCTAGCCCTGTCAAGACCGAATCTAATACGTTTAAATGACTCAAATGCTTTCATATCAGAATTAGCACGTTCTACTCGAGCTAGTTCTTCGTTGGTCGTGGCAGCTACTTGATCAGCACTTTCTTTCCAAGTTAATGGAACTGGATTGATTAGCGGTTGGTTAAAGTTTGAGCGCCTTTTCAAACGCCAGTAAACGAAGATGGCTGCACGAATGTCATTAGGAATGTTTCTGTTTTCACTTTCATTTTGAAAAGCCGAATTTCCTAAGTGAATTTTCATGGAGTCATTATCTAGCCAGATATTCAAGTGGGACTCTTGCACCAAATTATAAAAATTACACTCCAGTTCAAGGAGTCTGTAAATAAAGAATGCAAAACCAAAACATTAATGCAAATTCATATGTAAACTATCAAGGTGAATAAAAAATACTAAATTTTGATGAAAAATTGTGACATACATGTCGACATCACATGAGTTAGACTACTACGTACTACAACCTCACGACAGTTACATAAGAGAGATATACCACTCGATACTGTGTGGAGGACCTGATAAAAATAGTCTAAAAACCCATACTTGTGCGATGATTTGTACTAATTTCAAGTCATTTACACCTTTAGCGATAAACGAGGACCTGATATCAGTCAGTCACAACGTAGGATTAGGCACATATATGCATCGCTCCAAATTGCCATACCTCATTAACATAACAAGATGGACACCGGATTCATAAAAGTAGTTAATTCAGAGGTGGTAATATATAAAAGAAAGATTGCATATAAGGATATAGTATAGGAAGAAAGAATTAGTTCATAGAAAGAAAGATATGAAGCGATTTTAATCTCTTAGTTTAAGGGAAGACAGAGTGTATACACCGACGCCATTGTGATCGATTCTGAGCCATGTCACCAAGAGTTTCCAACCACTGGTTACGATAGTCACATGGACCCCAACCAAGTAGTCAGCATCTACCAACATGGCTCGGACTACAAGTTAGTGACTTCAAGCACTGATGCCACGTTTTCGTTTGGCCGCCCATAACTTTCTTCCAACCATCCTGAACACCGGTCAGCATTGCATGTCGTGGTAATCGGTGTTCGGGCATACGTAACACGTGGCCCAACCATCTCAGTCGATGAAGATTCACAACCTCATCAACTGATTTACCATCATTCCCTAATAACCTGCGTCGAACCTATTACTTACCCGGTGATCCCAGCAGACGCCAGCAATATTTCTAAGGCATCTGTGGTCAAATACTAGTAGCTTACGAGTGTCTTCTACTCTTAATGGTCATGTTTCGCTGCCGTAAAGTAGAACAGAACGGACTGCCGCGCAATATACTCATCCTTTTATTGATAGACGGATATCTCACCTTCGCCATAGGTGACGTAAGTTGGCAAAAGCCAAGCGAGCTTTTCGAATCCGTGCTGAGATTACGTCACATAGTAGTTAATTCAATTGTAGAAATGCATAAAAGAAAGATTGTGTATAAGGATATAATACAGGAAGAAATAATTAGTTCATAGAAAGGTATAAAGCAGTTTTAATCTCACGATTTAAGGAAGGACAAGGAGTATATACACCTACGCCATTGTGATCGATTCTGAGCCATGTCACCAAGAGTCTCCAACCACTGGTTACGATAGTCGCGTGGACGCTAACCAAGTAGTCTGCATCTATGAACATGGCTCAGACCAAAAGTTAGTGACTTAGTGGACTGATGCCACATTTTAGTTTGTAGAACAGAACAGACTGCTGAGCAGTATACTCGTTCTTTTATTGATAGACGGATATCTCGCCTTCGCCATAGGTGACGTAAGTCGGCAAGAACCAAACGAACTCTCTGAATCCGTGCAGAGATTTCGCCAGACGCCAACCCATTAGGGCTGGTCAGACTTCCAAGATAAGTGAAGTTGTCAACGCGTCCGGCTACTTCACTCCCTATCCTTAGTTCAGGTGTTGATGCAGGCCAGTCCTGAAGCAACAACTTGCATTTAGAGCGGGAGAAGCGCATCTCAAACATCCTGGTATTGTCGCTCAGTACTACCAGAAGACTCTGCATTTTATCAGCGTCTTCACCAAACAAAACTATGTCATCTGCGTATTCTAAGTCGATAAGTGGACCTCCTGGAAGGAGATCAATACCCGAGAATTCAGTCGACGAGAACGTTATTTCCATCAGTAGGTCTATGGCGAAGTTAAACAAAAATGGAGAAAGTGGACAGCCTTAACGGATTCCACTTGAGGTTGCAAAAATAGATGACAGTTCGCCATAAGCCCTGACTCAACTAGTAGTATTCAAGTAAAGAGACTTCACAAGGTTTATGTACTTCTGAGGTACGCCTTTCAATGACAGACTGAGAAGTGAGATGAGTCTTTTAACACTTAATTATGTTGGAAAGGTTTGAATAGCTGAAATGGGACAAAACAATGGGTCTTCTTACGATGCGAATCAAAAGACACTAGGTTAATAGGCCCCCAAGTGCTCTGGTACGGCCGAGGGTGGGGAGAGTCCGCATAATGTGTCTAAAGAACGCTAATCCACGAACATTCACAACTTACCCCATTGACTTGTCATATTTTCCTAGGGTTATACTCCTAACTAAATAATTGTTTAGTTAGACTATTCTGGATGAATGCACAGTATCAGAAATATCCATAGTAATATCATAAAAATCCTTGCATATTTAACCCTAATGGGCCAGGTCACATCCGAAAAGTACTAAAAAGAGAAGAGTTGCGCAATACAACATCCTTTGGTGGAGAGATGAATCACGCCTTTCCCATGTGTAGTTAGCTGATCGATCATGTGCAACATAGAACCTGATACATTTCTGCAATGGTTCAAGCTGCCACACCGTATTAGCACAACGAGATAAAATTATCAAAACAAATCCTAGAGAATTAGTAGCATTATTAATAGTGGTAGCAAATACTATATGTAAAAAAGAATAAGTTGTAACAAGATTTTGGGACTCAAGTTCTAAGAGACAAGAAAGTAATTCATCTGGACTCACGTTAAGTCTATAACCAGTCATTACGATAATTACATCATCTTCACCAGATGTAGTAATTTACTAAAAGTCAAAACAGCACTTTAATTTACGATAATATATGAACCAGCAACTCATTAGGACTGATAAAAAAATACTAGGTTATATTAAATAGTATAGACACGACTGTTTTTACTTTATCGTCAAACCAAGCACTAGGGTGGACCAGTCTTGTAACGACAATTTAGGTGAAAATCACATCTCAAACATATTTGCACTCGCGTTGATAAGGATTCATTTCATCGAAATTTTCGCCAATTAAAATTACTAGCGACAACTAGCTAACACTTTCAGAGCATAAAAATAAAAAAGAAGCTAGACTTTTGTGAATAGTCTAGCGAATCATTTCAAAGGCCTACATACATAAGATCAAAACAGGAAATGCTATGAATATAAAAATAAACACAAAATACTTCGAGTTTCCATAATTTAAAGCAAACAGATGGATTTTATGTAGAAATAAGAATTTAACTAGATTAAAGCTACAAGACATTTTCATTTAGCGCGAATGATATCCGTTAAGGTAAAGCATACACATAGGAATTAAGAACTGACCTTTGTTTACGCGTTAAGGCTACAGGTTGCGTTCCACTCCCAAAGTTTTGATTTGCATCATGCACCTTGATAGGGGAATTCGGAGCACGAAAAGAATTTGACTCACAGCCAGCAGAAGAATGATGAGTTGTTGACTGTTGCTCTTTTCGGGAATGCTTCCAACACAACCCCTAAAGTACGTTCAGAAGATAAAATCAAAATTTGTGAAAACTGCTAGCACTTATCGAAACGCTTAAGAAAGAATACAATATGACACCATTCTTGTTTAAATATGATATATGCATTTTAGTGAAAGTAGCTTTGGTTATCCAAAAAAAATTTGAAAAATGAGGATCCTATCCACACTTCAAGAGAAAATGTTGTGCTCCATATGGACTTAGAACTGGTTAAATGCAAGACGAAACATTATTGCTACTCGGTAACCAAGTTGTGTGGTTATTTTATTATTATTTAAACACACCGGTACAGAGAGGTACCTAATAGATATGAGCCAGATAAATCATTCGATTTACGTGAGGCCTCGATTACTGCCCAGATTTCCAAACCGAAACAGGTGGTTTTCTTAGGGTGCCACACCCCGAACCTTCGACCTAAAAGTCTAATTCACAAAGTAGTGGAGCAACGTCGGAAGATGCAGTCCCATGGTATCCAGTGACCAACAATAGGTTCGTACGCCATTTGTTCCCTCCGGATCCTGAAGCTCGTATACATCGTTCAGTCAGTCAACTACAACGTAGGATCAGGCATATATATGCATCCGTCCAAGTTGCCATATTCCATTAGCACAACAAGATGAACACTGGATTCATAGTAGTTAATTCAATCGTACAAATGCATAAAAGAAAGATTGTGTATAAGGATATAATACAGGAAGAAATAATTAGTTCATAGAAAGGTATAAAGCAGTTTTAATCTCACGATTTAAGGAAGGACAAGGAGTATATACACCTACGCCATTGTGATCGATTCTAAGCCATGTCACCAAGAGTCTACAACCACTGGTTACGATAGTCGCGTGGACGCTAACCAAGTAGTCTGCATCTATGAACATGGCTCAGACCGAAAATTAGTGACTTAGTGGACTGATGCCACATTTTAGTTTGTAGAACAGAACAGACTGCTGAGCAGTATACTCGTTCTTTTATTGATAGACGGATATCTCGCCTTCGCCATAGGTGACGTAAGTCGGCAAGAACCAAACGAACTCTCTGAATCCGTGCAGAGATTTCGCCAGACGCCAACCCATTAGGGCTGGTCAGACTTCCAAGATAAGTGAAGTTGTAGCCATGTGAGAGTATTTCGAGAGGGAGAGCGGAATCCCTACCCTCAACCGCACTAGGGCATCTAGGGGTCATGTGTGGTAGCTTACAACCATGTTATTCACAACTAAAGAGAAGGGAATGTTTCGACCTCGCAATCAATACCAAGGTTGGCACCGAAGTTTAGTTTGACTTCAGATTAATGTGAAGATTTGTAGGGAGTATAATAAGACTTAGCCCGGAGTTCCCTGTATGGTGATCGCCGGTCCCAACTCCAGGTAAAAAAGTAGGGTTAGCAACTCCTATAGTAAAAAGAACCTCTCTGAGAAGCGCAAACCAGAAACAATTAATTAAACTATGCCCTAGAAGTCGAAAGCTTTTCATATAGGACAGTTGAGACTCATTACGGTCAGTCACAACTGTCTACTCTCTCCATTTCTTTTTTTGCTAGTTATTGACACGATCATGAAGAAATATCACAACCAAAAAAATTATAGGTATTTATAGGAATCCGTTTACGCAAAGTGCCCCAGATTCATTGGTCGGAGACTATCAGGAATAACCGACTGTGGCAGAGGACAAACCAACTGTCAAATGAGAAAGAAATTAAGAAAAGACACGAGGTGGATACGACACATGACGAAAACTGGAGGCAGATATGAATAGCACTTGATAACAAGTGGGAAGGAGAGCGCAGTACAGAGTTGGTTGGAGATCTCTCGTTGGAAGTCTAAGCCCCAGGAGGGGTAATAGGCTTAAGTAAGAGTCTAATTTTGGACTTGCATTAATAAGTGGACAGGATTTATAGGACTCATACCAACTTTCAATACTGCTAAGGGTTGGGAAAAAAGCCAAAAAATCAAAATAACTCATGGCATTATAGAGCAGAACCTTGATAAGAGATGCGAATTTCCACGTTAAAATCCGTTGTGATTATGGAAATATGACCCGAAAATCATCATAATGAAGCAGAAGTATCAATTATTTATTGTTAAGTTCGGAATATTATTTTAAACTTTATATTATCGAGTCACTTTCCTTCATGATCTTTTACGCATCACCACGTATTGTTGCATTCATTTATGTTTTGTTGGTATAATGAGGTGGAATCTGGGACTCTGTCCACATACATTGTTGTTATGTTCTTCTACTTCTTCCGAAACTGTTATATAACGGGAAAATTCTCCATGGCTTTAATTAGGATACACCTGAAAAATAAACTTATTTTGAATAGCTATTGCAATAGGAAAACCACCTGTTAGAGGTTCTCTTAGTACAATTATTAAGTTTGTGTTGCAAAAAGAGTTAAGGTGATCAGTTAGACTAAATTTGACGAGGAAACGTCAAACAAGTACCCAAGATCAGTTGTATTTAACAAGTATGACAAAACTAAGTGGCCTTTCAGTTATTCTAAAGTTTAAATGAGGTCCAGAAAGGCTCACTATAAAAACAGAAACATCGGAAACGATTTGCGATTATAACACCTGACAACTAAAAGTATGAACAAAAAATCTATTACTTTTCTTGATATAAATAAGTGTCATTTGAAAGCAGAGAATGTGGTGTGTACAACATCATAATATTACCCTCACTCAAAAAACAGACCTACTATTAAGCGCACATCCTTGTCGACGAGCTCTTGGCGCATGACGAGGTTGCTTTGGAACGCGCATGTGACATGGAATGCTGTCTTACATTTAACACTAGAACACTGTACAGGAGCACCATAGCGTGAACGACATATTGAACAGAGAAGGTTTCGTCTGGCTTGTGGTATATTGTCTAATTTAATAATGGGTTCCATCATTTCGACGTCCCCAAACCCAACTTCCGGAACCCACAGGGCACAGCTAACATGACACCAACGTTGTCCGTCACTAAGAAAATGATTTCATGACACGCAACGTACTCTGAAAGTTTCATAGCTCCACCAGTATTCGGACATAAGCAGCAGGGAGTGGTTGACTTGACACCCGCCTCACACTGTCGACACATCCATGATCCTTCAGGGATTTGGAGAATGCCATAACACGCCTGGTGAACACACAGGAAGCAACCATCACAAAAGACCAATTCGTTTCCATCTTCACCTTCAAACTAAACCAAATAATGGTATAATATAAACTACAAACCGATAAACATATGTCACATCTAGCATTTTCATCGAATTCTAAAGACTGCATGTCTATCTCCTTAATTTTCTCACGCATCTTAACATAAGTAAGATACTCTAGTGTACTGATGACCTTCTCAAGCATCCAGTCCTCAACAAGTACTTGTCCCAAGCATTCTCTTTCTTCGTTTACAGTTGCAATCCACGAGTAATCTAAATCATCGATGTTGTAATATGGAGCAATTTTTTTCTTTTTAACCAACATATGAGTGGTTTCGTTAAAGTTACCACCGGTAGATTCAACTCGAAGTTTCTCAGGCCTTCAGAGGTAAAAATAAAGATGTAACTTACATAATAAATCGAGGACAACGGCGCTTTGGGCATGTAATGTCAAGTTTCCTAAAGTAACAGTTTCGTTCACAAACTCACTTATAGACAGGTCGAGGTTGACTGCTAGCATCCTTTACAGGAACTTGAACTCCTTCCCGATACCATTCAGACTTCCAAGAGTTTAAAATTAGTACAAGATTATCTTTCCTTCCACATTCACTGTCAGCACTAATCATCATTGCAGATAGGGGATGTCTATCAAAAACCTATGCCTGAGTAAAATTTAAAATATTCAGTACCTCTGCAGGAGCGTTTTCATCGCAATCAGGGAATGATGGCTCCCAGTAACGTAATATCCGTCTAACCTCGTCACAACTTCCCATCTCAATAATTTACTGCTACCGCGAACATTCAAAGCACGCGCGCGTGAGATTAAACAGCAAACTATACATAAGTCATAAAACTTGCCTGAAAATAGGTATATAAGTGTGGATTAAACAAGAAATTCGAAATTTTCGTCCATTTACCTAGAGATTGTGACTTTGTGCTCAATAAAAATGACTGGCGAAAATATATGTACCCTTGACCCTGAATCAAGGTCACTAGAATCCCAGTAATTTCAGACTTTAACTGTAAAGACTCATCTTTTTGTGCGAAACTTAAAAAAGTCTACTCTGAGAAAAAGGAGTGGATTTCATAATCCTATCAGGTTTCTCAAACTGGATTCTAGAATATGTTATCAGATAGTGAGAACAAAAAATATCTGGAGTATGCATATTCATGATGTATAATGCTAACTGTTTCGGACGTATGTGTTTATCATATTCACGTCAAAATCGGGAACGTAAAGTTAAGCTTCCTACATACGAAGAACAAAGGACAATTATCATCCATTCAATCTGCTGTAATTTTGAGTTTTTGGTCTTTTGTAGCGTGGAGTGCTAAGTCATTTTATCAAACGTTCATGTCTTGAGCTGACTGAAGGAGGCTGGTCACTCAGCCTCACCAGATCAAGAGTGGCTACGTCGTACTACGCATCTATTGAAACAGTTGACAGGCTTAGACCAAGTACGTTCATAAGTGATTTTTCGAAACCTTACGAAGGTTTAAATGGGGCTATTCCCGAACGTAGAGTCCTAACCGACACCAAGTTGTAACATGGCTTAGCAACAGACATGCTGCAACGAATTCAATAGTTCGCCGATCAACGGAGCTTTGACGAGAGCCTGTTTGACAGCGTTTAAACTTCCCCATCAGGTTCAGGCAGTTGCTGTCTCATTCCGAAATAACGCCATAGATGAATTATCTGAATCTGTCGACCGGATTCTACACATTTCCAGAACTTCATCAAGAAAGCATCAGGAGACAACTTTATTTGCTACATACTGACCATCAAATGTCATATTGTTCTTAATTTCCAAAAGTCACCAACTATTACTGGGAATGAATGATTTGCCCACTTCCGGAACCAAAATGTCTAGTAGCTCCATCTGACATTTTTCGTGTTGTGCTATTTTTCTATATAACTCCTCCTGGTAGTGATCTATTTATTCTTAAGAGTAAACAAAATATCGGGTTATGGTGTCATTGGATTGTTTAGTTTCTTATATGAATAAGCAAGCACATCCTCTGAGTGTCCATCTTGGACAAAGGCTAAAAATTTGTTATCAACAAAAATATTTAATACAGAAACGGCTGATTTTCTGACAGCTTTAGAGTTAATATCAATATGAAACAACATGAATATTAAAAGGTGAAACAAACCCAATGCGACTGTTGGAAATGTACCAATTGACAATACGAGTTTTACTAATGTTATCTACATTCACATGTGAGAAATGTTATTCCCCATAACTCTATAACCGATGTGCCTTATAAAAAATCAACCTGAATAACTTACTACAGTGAAAACTGTATCTTCTGTAACAACTTGATTTGTCTGAACTGACATGCCTTGTGTAACATACAGTTAGTTGAGAATAAAATATTTTATTATTCACTTAGTGCTAACTTTAGTAGTAGTGGGTTCCGGAGACTTATTTTAAATGCTCATGTGACCAACAATTACATTATAGTTTAGTCCATGTACCAATGCAGGACGATATATTAATCCGGTGACTTTGTTATCATAGCTGTGTTAAACGCCTTTTTATGAAATTAATATAATAGCTTGATTTACAAACCCAAATATACATAACAACGATGACCGCTATGGGTTTGGTGGAAAATTTTAAATGCGTTTTAAATAATTGTTAGATTCAAATGGCATAGAAATGATATGATGCAACGCATGTACAGGTCAGGTAAATATGTACGCTTATGAGGAATACAACAGTTAAAAAGGACTTGACAGGAAAAAGTTAAAAGTTGAAGGGTGACATATGGAAATATATATGACAGGTATAATATATAATTCTCATAAATAATTACTATAATTAGCCAAATGGCTTTCATGGATATGTATTATTGATAATCGGAACTAAGTAGTGCAAAATTAACGTTCAATCTAGTGGGGTTTGTAGAATTTTGGTCTACTATGATATTAGTACTGTTCTAATAATAGACCTTATTTTAAAATGGTAGATTTGTCATGATGTCGCTGCCTTATCTATAAGATCTTACGTGGAAGTTACATCACTGACTACAATGACTCATCGTATCGTGACAACTACCAATATATGGTGGAGAACACATTCAGACTGGAGATAGAACAATATATTTAATATAAGTAAAAGATATAAGGTAACGTTCAACAGGGACCACGCATACAAGGCCGAGCCATGCCATCCGATCAACGCGAATTAATTCAGTTCATTGTTACCGCCTTCTTCACTGTTGGGTTTTTCTCCGCGTTAAATGCTGAATATCTATTTCCCCAATTGCCTCATTTTCACCTTTGAGGATTGTGTAGTTAGGACTCAATTCCACTACAGGTTCTCTTGAAAACAATACACTTTCTCATGGCAGTATGTTGTTATTCCAAGCTATTAAATATGTCTTATCCCGAAAACAGCTTTAGGAGTGTTTTATATCAAATATTTACAGCTAGTCTTAGTAAATATAAATGTTAGGAAGTACCAGAAACATAGTAAGACTGGCCTGGATTCTTTTCGGAATTTAGATAACCTAGTGGATTTATCAAATAGAACCCCATGATGTCTGATACTGTTGACTTTTTGTCACTTGGTCTATTCAGTACAAATCCGGGAGTTAAGATAAATATATGGCTATCACTGTATGAACCGTCTGAAATGAAGTTAAGAGCGCATAAACTTTATAGTCTAAACTCACGGTAAGTTTCCAGAATGTCGTCTTCATTTTTTGGCAATAGGACTGAAAAAGTGAAAATTAGACAGGCAGTGGTCGAAAGAATAGATACTAGGGAATAGTTCATTTTTAACATAAGTAAGAATCTATCGATAAACCAAAAATGAAGTTAAGATTAATAACATGCTGAGTTTCTTTGGTCGGTCTCATCAATGTAGATCACACAGACGACCCTTGTCGAATGATTGGGGGCCTACTGGGGTTAGACGGGAATAGAACGACGAATAAGATAACTCCAAAGCCACACTTTGCGGTGAGAATCTATCTTGGATTACCCCTTCGTCATACCAAGGTACTATGACTGCTTTGAAGACCATATAACACATAGGACTTTATTACAGGAATATATTGGCAAGAGTAAACACAAGGAAGAGAGTGCAAATACCACTGCATAGAACAATCCATAGTATGTGATAGTGTCCTCTCGTGTCCACCATTGTTGACCTGCTTTTAGTATTACATGTTGAAAGTAATTCTGCTCAGCAATTATACGCTAAGCTTCGAAGATCGTGTGGTTAGGAACCTATACCACTACAAGTAGACACGTCAGACAACTTGGGCTCTACTTTGTGACACAATTTTTACCGACGAGATCGAGAAAGGGGAATGAGGATGAAGAGATAATATGTCGTTTAACGGAAGATTGGTTATCTATTGATGCCTAACACTAACTGTAACTTCTAATCTTCGCAACAGCTGATAGACTACAAATAAATTTTGTGACGTTTTTATCAAAATTAGCATTGTCAGCTTAGTGAGAGTCAGTCAGCATGTTGTGAGATATTAAGTGATGTTTTTGCAAAGTTAAGGCCGGTCAGGAACCTGAAGGAATATTGTATCAGATGCCCGAGTAGGTATTGAAGAAATTGGAAAAGAAGTTAGTCTGTTTTTTATGTGAAATAGCATGCTATTTGTGGGACATGTTTATGGAGATAGGAAGTTCTCATAGGAAGGCTATGGAGGGCAAGCATTGCCAGATATTTAGAAGCAAACAACTGACCACCGACAGTTGATAAACATAAAGCTGTCCAAAATAGGTACATTCATATCCATCCTAACGGTTGAGGAATTGTGAGTAACAAATGGAATATACGGAATCTGCACTAAGCCTACAACTGACGTTCATGTGTGAGTTTACAACAAACGAAGCCTAAACTTGTCTCAGTAGAAGGGACCCATTGCACATCAATTTCAGTAAAAGAAGTGTTAACAGACAAGTCGCACAGCTCCGAATTTATTTTAGTGACTGTTAACTATAGTTTATCACTCACCATACAATGACATTTTTAAACGGAATATCTCGTTATTTATTGAACTTCTGTTTTCTCAAGCCATTGTCGGTCTATGCCCAATAACCTCAGTACTTTATAGTCTCTCTATATCCCTAGTAGCTTATTGGAATTCCAGGTGACTGCCTCATAAATTCTAACCACATGGTCATCAATGGCGCTCCAAGTCCAACGTTTAAAATTCTACAAATCACCAACAACGTTCATGTATATTGTAGTCAACATACCATTGAACGAGTTAGAGACACCACAGGTATTCGGAGTTTGACAAGGCTTTAACCGGTAACACCTCCTAATATTATTCGTACCCACCAAGTGAAACCAGAAGACAGAAGCGAGGAGGTTCGAAGATATATTTGATTTGCTATCAATCGTCTGATCTAATCTGGCTAGCGTCTGCAGGGGTTGATGAGCACGGCGTTCCCACTCGTGATCTGGTGCGGATGCATGTTCGAGCGCCTTCAACTAGGTAAGTCCATTAAAACTAATGTGGTCAACATCCAATGTCGAGAACTTACAGAGCTATTTATTTTGGGGATTTATTTACGGCTACAAAAAGAATTGCATGTATGCATGTGTCATGTACATTTATTAATTTTCCTTAAGTTGAATCTGTAGTCAAAATTGTTTCCATATGTATACAGACGGGTAGGGAATGAACTGTAACTCAACTTCGCGACCGTGTAACTGAAGTTTGTACGGTTGACAGAGAAAACCCTTAATTACACTACGAATATGGTTACGTTTGCACTCTTTCTTAATGGAAGGAGTTGTTCAAGTACCCGGACGCAAACCAGATTCTTTCTGAAAAGCAGCATAGCTTTAG